TTGCTTTAGGATTATAGGAGACATCTTCTACTTATTATAGTCTGCCTTCAAGAAATCTACTGCTTCAAATATTATATAGCAGTATGCTGCCATTTTTCCCCTCCCCCCTTTGTTTTCCTTGCCATAAATTTTACTTTTACATGTATTATAAATTTGTAATACATTCTTATTTTTATATTAAATGTTGAATTTTTATAGCTTTTAATAAGAAGAAAGAAGCCTTTCACATTTCTCTGCACAGTTTCAATTTCTTGTGCTCTTCTTGCTTTTGTATGGATCCAGATTTCCATCTGATATAATTTTCCTCTGCCTGAAAGACTTCCTTTAACATTTCTTGTATTGCTTGTCTACTGGGGATTTTTTTTTTTTCTTCAGTTTTTGTATCTGTGAAAAAGGTCTTTATTTCATCTTTGTTTTTGAAAGATCACTTAGTATAGAATTCTAGACTGGCAAGGTTGGTGTTCTTTTTCAGTACATTAAAGATGCTATTTCATTGTCTTTAGCTTTGTATTATTTTGTATGAGTATGAGAAATGTGTTCTCTCCAAACTTTATTCCTCTGTATCTAATACCTCTTTTTTCCCTCTTCAGCTCCTTTTAAGACTTCCTCTTACCATTTGTTTTAAGGAGTTTGATTAGGTTATACTTTGCTATAGTTTTTTTTCTTTGTTTTCTTTTTTCTTCTTTTTTTTGAGACAGATTCTCACTCTGTCGGCCAGGCTGGAGTGCAGTGGCATGATCTGAGCTTACTGCAATCTCCACCTCCCAGGTTCAAGTGATTCTCATGCCTCAACCACCCGAGTAGCTGCAATTACAGGCATGTGCCACTGCACCCAGCTAATTTTTGTATTTTTAGTAGAGATGGGGTTTCACCACATTGGCCAGGCTGGCCTCAAACTCCTGACCTGGGATTACAGGCGTGAGGCACCATGCCCAGCCTTTTGTTTCTTCTGCTTAGATTTCATTGAGCTTTTTGGGTCTGTGGATTTATTGTTTTCATGAATTGTGGAATTTCTTTCTGTCCTTCTTCAAATATTTTTTTCTGTCTTCCTTCAGTGATTCCAATTACACGTAACTGTAGTTGCACAATTATGTATGAAGTTTTTCCACAGTTCATTAATACTGTTTACTTTTTAAAAACTTTATTTTGAGATACTTACAGATTCACATGCAGTTAGAAATAATCCAGAGAGGTCTTATACCCATTCCCCAATTCCCCCCCCACACCATGGTAACATCTTATATAACTATAGTTCAGTATCATAACCACTTTCATTTTTTTTTATTTCATTTTTGATAGTTTTTATTGCTATTTCATGAAGTTCACTAATCTTCGACAGTGTCTAAACTGCTATATTTTTCATCTCAGACATTGTAGTTTTTATTTCTAGAAGTTTGATTTGCATCTGTTTTTATTTTGAGACTTTCTTGCTCTGTTGCCTAGGCTGGATTGCAGTGGCACAATCACAGCTCACTGCAATCTCTACCTACTGGGCTCGAGAGATCCTCCCACCTCAGCCACCTGAATACTGGAACTGCAGGTGCATGCCACCATGCCTGGCTAATTTAAAAATAATTTTTTTTTTTTTTTAGAGAAATGAGATCTCAGTATGTTGCCCAAGCTGGTCTTAAACTCCTGGGCTCAAGTGATCCTCTTGCCTTGGCCTCCTAAAGTGCTAGGATTACAGGCATGAGCCGCTGAACCCACCCAAGATTTGCATGTTTTTAAAAGAGCTTCCTTGCCTCTACTTACTATGTACAATCTTTTCTCTGGCTTCTTGAACATACAGAATATAATTATAATAACTTTAATGCTTTTGTCTACTAATTTTGTCATCAGTGCCATTTCTGGATTTCTTATAATTGATTTTTTTATCATTATGGTTCATATTTTTCTGCTTTGCATGCCTAGTAGTTTTTAATTAGATGGCAGATATTATGAATTTTACCTTATTGGGTCTAGATATTTTTAATTCTTATAAATATGCTTGATTCTTGTTCTTGGATGTAGTCACTTAGAAAGTGCTTCATCTTTTTGGGTCTTGCTTTATTAGGCTTTATTAAAAATGCGTGTTTTGTTTTAAAAAGAGAAAAAGCCAGTTATAAACAGTGCAACAATTTTTGTGATAGCAAAAATCTGTAACCATTCTAAATGTTTATCAGTAACCCTGATTATACTGTAGTAAGTCTGAACAGTGGAATCCTCTTAAAGTGGACCCTTATCATTTATACTACACTTGATCTTAGCCAAAAGGCCGAGAAGCGATGACCCTTATCATTTATTTGCTGGCCCTACCACCCTTCCAATTTCAGAGTCCCTTCAGAAATATACTACCGGACATCTAACTTTTGTTTAAAAAAGATTTATAGTCTTATGAGGTCCTACATGCATTGTTGTATTTTTAGTTCTTTCTTTTACTGAGCTGAAATGTAATAAGAGGAGAACAGTAGACAATGGGGGTGGCCAGGTAATAGGAGACAAGATGTTAAGTGTAAGACTTTAACTTTCTTTCTTAGTGAGGAGGGAAGCTACTGGATGGTTATGAACAGAAGTGTTCCTTGATCTTACATTTTAGAGCAGGAGTCAGTAAAGATTCTTGTAAAGAGCCCATATGGTAAATATTATATATCTTATGGATCACACAATCTCTGTTGCAACTTGTGTTGATCACATAAACTCTGTTACAAAAAGAGACATCTGGCAGGATTTGGCTCCCAGGCTGTGGTTTGTTGGCTCCTGTTTTAGGACTGAATGGAGTGCTATATTGAGAATAGATTCTAGGGAGCAAAAGTGGAGGTAAGGAGTCCAGATAAGGGGCTGTAACAGTAATCTACATCAGAGATCATGTATAGACCCAGCAGACAGAAAGTAAATACACAGAGCAAAGGGGTTCTAGGACTTAGCCTCAGAACAACCTAACATTTAGAAGTCAGAAAGCGGAGGACTCAGTAAAATTGTCTGATAAGGAATGGCCAGAGCAAAAAGATGCCAAGAAGGAGAAAGTACAATAGTAGAAAAACAACCTGATTTTAAAAATGGGCAAAAGACCTGAACAGACATTTCCCCAAAGAAGGCATAGAAATGGCCAAAAGGTATATGAAAAGATGCTCAGCATCACCAGTCATCAGAGACATGCAAATTAAAACCACAATGAGATATCACCTTGCACCTGTTAGAATGGCTGTTATCAAAAAGACAGATAATTGTTGATAATAAGGGTATGGAGAAAAAGGAACCCTAGTACACTGTTGGTGGGCATGTAGATTGGTACAACCATTATGGAAAACAGTATGGAGGTTCCTAAAGAAATTAAAATTAGAACTACCATGCGACCTAGCAATTCCTCTTCTGAGCGTATTCACAAAGGAAATGAAATTACCACCCCATAAAGTGCAGCATTAATTGACCTCTCGTGTTCAGTGCAGCATTAATTGACAATAGTCAAGATATGGAAACATCCTAAGTGTCCATGAATGGGTAGAGAAAATGTATATAAAATGGGATACTATTTAGCCTTAAAAAAGGAGATCGTGCCACTTGCCATAGCATAGATGGACCTGGAGGTCATTATTCTAACGACGCAGAAAGACAAAATACTGCATGATCTCATATGTAGGGGAGAAAGCCAAATATGCAGTGGTATAATATAATAAACATGAAGAAATAAAACTGGTTACCAGGGATAGGATGGGAGTGAGAGGAGGAAATGGGAAGATGTAGGTCAAAGGATACAAAATGGCAAATATGTAAGAGGAGCAAGTCCAACACACAGCATGAGGACTGCAGCTAATGCAATTGTGAAATAAGTGCACTTTAGCTGCTCTTATCACAAAAAAGTAACTATGTGAGATGATAGATACATTTATCTGCTTCATTATGGTAACCATTTTACTTGTCTCTATGTATCCCATAACATCATGTTGTAAATCTCAAATATACACAATAAAATTTCATTTTTTAAAAAAGGAGAGAGTAATCAACTGTGTCAAAAGCTTGCTGTAGGTCAGATGAGATTAAGGCTGAGAAGTGAACACTAGCATTTGGTGAGGTCAAGATCAGTGGTGACTTTGGTAAGAATGGTTTCATTGAAGTCATGGGACAAAAGCCTGAATGGAGTAGGTGTGAGAGAATATGGACACAGGACACAAGAGATGGCCGGGGGTTGGGGGGGGGGGGGGGGAAGGGGAAAAAAAAAAAAAGAGATGGCCTCAAAGTAATTTTACTGTAAAGGAGAGCAGAGAAAAGGGAAGGTGGCTGCAGAATTGGAGTTTAGAGAGGATTTTTTCAACAGTGGTTAATGATTACAGCTAATATGCATTCAGCAATTAACACAACAAAATCTCTGCCCCATAAAGCTTACATTTTAGTGCTGGGTGGGGGCAGGAAGATAGCAAATAATAAAGAAACACATTTTAAACTGGCTATGAGATGTAGCCACTCATATCATACAGACATATTCAAAATGATATTATCTCCTCTCCTCCCTTCCGCCACCTTTTCCTATGTTTCTCTTCCTTGTTTTTGTATTGTAAAAAATGCCACATTGAGGACAGAATCCTGTGCCTTATCCCTTGTAAGCATCCTGTCCTCAAACTCAGGCGGATTTTATTTTTTTGCTTCACAAACAGTTGTCAGGTCTGCTCCCTTCTTGCCATCTCAACCTTGGCCCCTTAGCATTCACTTCTCTTCTGGATTGCTACTTCACCCTCTTAACTGGAGTCTCTGCCTTCATCCTTCCCCTTTAATCTGTTCTCCACAATGTAGCCAGTCGTCTTTTAAAAATATAACCTGAGTTTTAAGGGACTTGCTCAAGACCACAAAATTAGTAGAGCCAAGATTTGATTTCCTTATGTCATGCTCCTCTTGGGGCTGGCTTTATGTAGGGGGTAGGAAGGAGCTGGATCATCTCAAGCTAAGTAAGATATGAACATTGCCAGAAATGCATGTTTGTGTGTATCTGACAGCTCATCAATTTGTGTGATTTTGGTTTGTTTTTGTAGGTGCACAGGTTTCATATTCCAGAAGGTTGGAAAGTTGGCTGCAACAGCTGTGGGAGGTGGATTTTTTCTCCTTCAGGTCTGTATGTGAAATGTTCTCAGATGTTTGGAAATTCCACCTGCCCATTAAGGAATGCGGTGCGGGGAGTTGTAATACAGTCCTGGGTATGTTACACTAGAGTAGCCTTTGCACTTGTTTTTATTTACTATTTCAAATGCTAATGACCATTTGAGTCAAATTTTATCCATTATACTAGTAAATGTTATTTACCAGTCACATTTTATTTCCTCATTTGGGGACAGAAGTGCAAATTCCTTATCATAGCTCCCTTAAAAGAGTTTTTAAGACCAGCTGAAATATTAAGCAGATGTGATTGATTTCAAAACTGCAAGTAGGCTGGGATGATTTAGTTTCATATTCTAACATATCCAGCTTTTTCAGAGGGGACATTGAGCATTTGATGAGAAGTGGGAGCCAAGTGACAGTGGTTGTCAGTTCTGTAGGAGAGACTAACAAGCAAGACTTGAAAAACAAAAAGGGAGCAGTTCCTCCAAAAACAAAAGAAAACTGACATTTGATTGTACTGGGCACACATTTCTTAGCTCTGCGGCATTGGTATTCAAACTTGGCTCCACATTAGAATCACCTGGGAGTTTTTAAAAGAGCGAACAAGTATCACCCCCAACCCAGAGTCTGATTTCAGCAGAAAACTTAAAACTCTTGAGGTGATTCTACTGTGCAGCGGTGCGTAGAGCTGCTCTGCTGTGGGAGCCATAACTTGCTGAATCATGGCAGAGTCTCTGAATTCACAGCCCTTTGTCTCTTCCCACTGTTGGCATCCCTCACTTTGGCAAGGTAACTTCTGCATTAGCACCATGATTGGAGTGAGTTCTGCAGATAGGTCAGGTGAAAATCAAATGTATTGAAGAGGGGAACTGGTAAGTGGCTGGAGCTGGGTTGAGTGTGGTATTGCTGCATGACAAATTCCCCCAAACCTAATGGCTTCAAATAATGATCACTTTATTCTTTCTCATGGTTACAGGAGTTTGGGGAGGGTTAACGTAGGTGCTTGTGGATCAGAGTCTCATGTGGTTACAGGCCAGATGATCAGAGGGCTGGGGTAGGTCTGGACTGGCTGGGCCTCTTTGTCTCTCTGTCTCTGTCTTCCCTCGTACCCTCCTTATTTCCCCCCTCTCCATAGCGTCAATGCTCTTCCATGTGATCCCTGGGCATGGGCTGGTATAGGCTTCCTCTTACAGCCATGACTTCAGGACTCCCAAGCACAGTGCTCCAGAAATATGGTGTAAGTTGCATCTCCTTTCTTGCCCAAGACTCAAAAGTCATGCAGCATCACTTTTGTTGGCTGTCTCCCTGTGGGCTTGTTAGGTGCTGGCTCTTCACACCTCTGTCTCCTTCCTCTTGACCATTCAGGCAGAAGTGCAGTAACAGCTCTATCCCTGTGGTTTCTGTTACATGCTGCCCCAGACTCCATAAACATCTTAATATTGCCTTGAAATGTCTTAATTTGAGTGTGACCTCTGTTTTTTTTTTTGGGCCCCTGACAGAAATAATTGGTATTGCAAGTGTCTCCAGAAAGGCACGCAAAATGAGATTCTGGTGTTGGATGACTCCAATATTCAGGGGGTTTAGGGACACTGCTTTGCTGCACAGGTGAGACATGGAGAATCTGTGGCAGGCACTCATGTTATCTGTCACTAGAGGGGTGAGAGCAGGAGGCAAGCATAATGTTGAGAGATGAGTTATATCAGGAGTTATAGTTTGATATAGGGATCCAGTTTCCTTTTCTCCATACTGATAATTGAGCAGAATTTAGTGAATAATTCTTCCCATTCCCAACATTTACAGCATTGTCTCTTTCATATATGAAAATCCATGTATGTGTGGCTGTGATTCTGGTTTCTGTGTTATGTTCCACTGCTCAACTCTGTATCTTTATGGCAGTTCTAAAGCTTAATATTTGGTGCCATGCAGATTCCTCCACCTTATTCTTCAGGAGTGTTGCAGCTACTTTTGTTTCTGCTTGCTCACCTGAATTTTAGATCAGAGTTGTCAGTTGTTTAAAAAAATCCTGTTGAAATTTTTATCGGAATTGCATTGGAACCATGAGTAATCTATCTGTGAACGTAGGTTTTTCTCTCCAATTATTTAGGTCTTCTTTAATGCTTTTGAATAGACTTTTATTATTTTTCCATATAGATCTTGTACATGTGTGATTCATTTTTATTACTGGATATCTTATAAATTTAGTTGGTCTCGTGGATGATACGATTTTTAAATCTACACATTCTGATTCATGCTAGTGTGTTGAAATACAGTTGATATTTTATGTTGCTTTTTCAGCCAGCCACCTTACAAAAAAAGTCTCTAATTTCTGACTTGCCTGGGATTCTTTTGGGTTTTGTCTATAAAATCATGCCATCTGTGAACAGTGACATTTTTTCTTCATGGCTTTTTCTTACCAAGCTGTAGATCCCTTTCAGAGCCCAGCAACGCTTGCCAGTTTTCAATTTATTCTACTCCCTCTGCCTGTTGTACTGTAATGGACGCATGATGTTGAACTTTGTCAGTAGAGGGTGCTGGAGGGACCTTGCAGCGGGAAGGGGCTGCTTTTCCCAGTTCTGGTGTTGCTTTGCTCCTATAGTGCAGTCCCCCAGTAATGCCGCGGAGAGCAGGAAGTCACCCTACAGTCCTGGCCTGGGCCACCCAGGGGACTTCACCAACACCAGTACTACTTGTGCACCCTTGTAAAAAATCAGTTTGTTGTATTTGTACAAGTCCGTTTCTGTACTTTTTATTCTGTTCTGTTGATTTGTGTGCCTGTCTCTTCGTCAGTACCACATATTTTCTTGACTGCTGTAGCATTATACTAAGTCTTAAATCAGGTAGTGTGATTTCCCCCAATTCTGTTCTTTATCGGAATCATTTTGGTGATTGTAGTTCTCTTTCCTTTCCATATAAATATTAGAACCAGCCTATTTATGTATCTATAAAAAATTCTAGAGGAAAACCTAGGCAATACCATCCAGGACATAGGCATGGGCAAGGACTTCATGACTAAAACACCAAAAGCAATGGCAACAAAAGCCAACATTGACAAGTGGGATCTAATTAAACTCCAGAGCTTCTGCACAGCAAAAGAAACTATCATTAGAGTGAACCGGCAACCAACAGAATGGGAATAAATGTTTTCAATCTACCCATCAGACAAAGGGCTAATATCCAGAATCTATAGAGAACTTAAACAAATTTACAAGAAAAAAACAAGCCCATTCAAAATTGGGTGAAGGATATGAACAGACACTTTACAAAAGAAGACATATATGAGGCCAACAAACATATGAAAAAATGCTCATCATCACTGGTCATTAGAGAAATGGAAATCAAAACTACACTGAGATACCACCTCACACCAGTTAGAATGGTGATCATTAAAAAAATCTGGAGACAACAGATGCTGGAGAGGATGTGGAGAAATAGGAACGTTTTTACACTGTTGGTGGGAGTGTAAATTATTTCGATGATTGTAGAAGACAGTGTGGCAATTCCTCAAGGATCTAGAAATAGAAATTCCATTTGACTCAGCAATCCTATTTCTGGGTATATACCCAAAGGACTATAAATCGTTCTATTATAAAGACACATGTACATGTATGTTTATTGTCGCACTGTTTACAATGGCAAAGACCTGGCCAACCCAAATGCCCATCAATGATAGACTGAACAGGGAAAATGTGGCACATATACACCATGGAATACTATGCAGCCATAAAAAATTATGAGTTCATGTCCTTTGCATGGACATGGATGAAACTAGAAACCACCATTCTGAGCAAACTGACACAAGAACAGAAAACCAAACACTGCATGTTCTTACTCATAAGTGGTTGTTGAACAGTGAGAACACACAGACACAGGGAGCGGAACATCACACACTGGGGCCTGGATGGTAGGGGGCTAGGGGAGGAATAGCAGGGGGTAGGGTGATTGGGGAGGGATAGCATTAGGAAAAATACCTCATGGAGATGACGGGGCGATGGATGCAGCAAACAACTACCATGGCATGTGTTTACCTATGAAATAAACCTGCACGATCTGCACATGTACCCCAGAACTTAAAGTATAATGAATAAATCAAAAGAGAAAGAAAGTCTACTGGGATTTGTGATTGAGATTGCAGTAAATCTGTAGATAATTTAGAGAGAATTGGTCATCATTTCTGTGTTGAAATGTACATGTACATGTACATGACATGTCTCTCCATTTATTTAGGTTGTCTTTGAGTTCTTTCTTCAGCATTTTGTAGTTCTCAGTATAGAGATCCTGTATGTTTTATTTGATTTATACCTAGTATTTAATTGTTTTTGTGCCTATTGTTGTAAATCATTAAAAAAAATTTCAGTTCAAATTGCTAGCATATTGAAATTCAGTTGGTCTTGTGCTATCTTGTATCCTGTGACCCTGCTAAACTCACTTTTTTAGTCTAGGAGTTTTCTTTGGTGTTTTTTTTTTTTTTGTTGTTGTTGTTGAATTCTATGAAATTTTTATGTAGACAAGGATGTGTGTGAATAGAGACAGTTTAACCTCTTCCTTGTGAATGTGGATGCCTCCTAATTCCTTGTCTCACCTTGTTGTGCTGACTCTGAGTTGACTTCTGGTACGATATTGAATAGGAGTGGAGAGGGCAGACATCTTTGCCTTGTTCCCTGCATTCATTCTTTCACCGTGATGCACAGTGTTAGCTGCAGGGTTTTTGTGTAGATGCTCTTTATCAAGTTGAGGAAGTTCCCCTCTATTCCTCTTTCTCTGAGACTTTTATTACGAATTTGCATTCAGTTTTGTCAGATGTTTCTTGAGTCCTGCCTTGAGGTTAGGCCAGGTGATACTGCAGGAAAAGCAGTAAACACACCACCAGTTTGGTGGTGCTTTGAATTCTGGTCTTCTCCAGTCTGCATGTCACTGTTTTCATATAAGAGCCCTCAAATAGCTAGTCCATGTATATTCTCCGTTTAACAGCAGGATTTCTGTGGGAGAAACAGGATAAACTAAATGAAAGAGAACCTTCTTTTAGCATACAAATTTTGATACTCAACTATGTGATTGCCATAAGCAATTTGTTCTTTTAGTACTAAGTAATATTCTGTTGTGTAAATATGATACAGTTTGTTTATCCATTCATGTGTTGATAGACTTTGTGTTATTTCTAGTTATAGACTCATAAGTAAAACTACTGTGGCAAGGGCTGCCATCCTGGAGGCAGTGTGACAGCATGTGTAATTGCAGTATTGGTAGACACTGCCAAATTGTTTTCTTAAAACACTACCAGTTAAGACTCTTAGTAAGCATGTGTAAGAGTGTCTATTTCCCCACATCCTTATCAACAGCAGATATTTTCAGTGCTTTAATTTTCTCCAATCTGATAAAAAATTATAGGTCATTATTTTATCTCTCCTTGATTACTTGTGAAGTTCAACTTTTTCCTTCTCTTGGACACTTTCCTCTGTGAATTGCCTTTACGCAGTTTTAAAGTGAATTTTTTTTCTTACCGATCTCTATAAGAACTTCACTGTTTTGAGTATCAGTGTTTTGTTTGTAATACACATCACAAGTATTTTCTCTAGTCTGGTTGGGTGACTGGTGGTGCCATTAGCTAAAATAGGGACTAGAGGAAGAGCAACAGTGCAGGAGACTTTTAGTTTCAGATATTCTGAGATATCCAGGTAGATACAACTTAGCAAAAATTTGGTAGAGAGGTGATATTGATAGGGCATTGATTGGTGGGCTGTCGTCATTCTCTTCATTCCTTGGATGATACTAATCCATCATCAAAAACTACATGCTTAAATCAAATTTACAGTGCATTTTAGAGTTTAGCTGTTTTTATCAAGGGAAATAGGTACATGCTGTAGGTGTCTTTGAATGTGCTTCTCTTAATACCTCTTTATATGAAGTCATTCATGAGAAATCTCTGTGGGGCCAGATGCTAGGTTTCTTCCTGAATATCTGGCATCTTTTCTCCTATTAAGCAACAGTAATTACTGCCTGAAAGCTTTGCACTGTTCACATTGTCAGGAAACTGACACTCATGAGCACATTGTCAGAGTCGTTCTCTGGAAACATTTGTATTGGCTGTAAGGTCCATCTCTTCACCTTACATCTTGACCTCCCTACCTTGATTTTCGTCTTATATAAAACTTTTTAAAAGGGTTGTAGGAGTATAAATAAATTAAAAGAATTGCCAGTAGTTATTTCTAGTGCCAGGCATATGGCTTTGCATATAGGGGGGATGCTGAGTAGATGTCATCATGATACAAAGAATCAAATGGCAGATGTCTCCAAAAATGGAAAGTCAGAGGGTTTTGAGACTTTACTTCACAATTTATCCTGATGAAAAGAAATAACAAATCTGTTTCTCATTTCTTCTTGTCATTATTGTCGATATTGTAGCTTGCAAACCATACTGGGTACATCAAAGTTGACTGGCAACGAGTGGAGAAGGACATGAAGAAAGCCAAAGAGCAGCTGAAGATCCGTAAGAGCAATCAGATACCTACTGAGGTCAGGAGCAAAGCTGAGGAGGTGAGACTTGCATTATTCACGTGTAGTGTGTGAACAGTGCAGACAATTGTCTTAACCCTATTGCGTCGATAGCTCAGTGATGGACAGGGCTTAAACATTACAAAGAACTTAGAGTAATGTGACAAAGCTAACTTGGAATATCATAACTTCATAGCATTTTTAAAAGCTGGATAATTAAAAGTTTTTGGTGACCTTTGTCAGTTGAGAGTACAGAGTGATTCAGATTATCCCTTTAACATGTTCGCCTAGGAATGTGGGCAGCATAGTAGATGGGAAGGATATATGGCCAGTATGATCATTTTCAGTCACATTTTGTCCCTGTATACACTTATCTCTGAAATATTCATACTGTGCTTGTTTTACATATAACTAGTAGAAATGTGTAGCCCAGGGGTTGGGGAACTTTTTCTGTAAAGGGCCAGGTAAATATTTTTAGTTTTGTGGGCCATATTGTCTCTGTCACAAGTATTCAGCTCTACTGTATATCATGAAAATAGCCATAGATGATATGTAAATAAGTGGATGTGGCTGTTACAGTAAAACTTTATTTAAAAACAGGTTCAGACTGCGTTTGGCCCATGGGGGGTAGTTTGCTAATCCCTAATCTTGTTAATTACAGCCAGGTTAGATTATAACCTGGCACTGGAGGGACAGGAGAAGTTCTTCCTTTTTAAAAAGATATTTTTTGCTGCTTCTTTATTACCTTTAGAAATATGTCAGATATCCCAAAGAAATAAGTACAGTGAACTGGGGAGAAATAAACAAGAATTAGGGTGTCAAGAAGATAGCTCTAGCCTCACAGGGAAAACAGGCAGATTGAGTACAAGGGAGGAGAAATACCCTGTATACGCCTCCGGCTTCTCATGTTGTAAGGTGGCTCCTCACACCAGTGATCAGCAAGTGGCTAGTCAAAGCTCGTGCCTTTACGCAGAGTGGGAAGGTGGCAAAGGTGGTTATCTACAGGAGCCCAGAGCCCAGATGGTTCTTCTTACCTTTCTTCCTTCTGCCTCTCCTCAATCTCAAAGTTATGAAAGTTATACTTTTTTATTTCATGAAAATTTTATTTTTCAAATGTTTAAAAACGCAATACATGGCTGGGCACAGTGACTTACCACAGTGAGCGAGAATTTTTGTTTTTTAAGAGAGGGTTTCACTCTGTCACCCAGGCTGGAGTACAGTGGCACATTGATGACTCACTGTAGCCTCAACCAAGCGATCCTCCCACCACCGCCTTCTGAGTAGCTGGGTATACAGGTGTGCACCAGCATACCTGGTGAAGTTTTACATTTTTTGTAGAGACAAGGAGTCCCTGTTGTTGTCCTGGCTGGTCTCTCAAACTTCTGGGCTCAAGCAGTATTCCCACCTCAGCCTCCCAAAGTGCTGGGATTACAGGTGTGAGCCACGGTGCCTTGCCGAAAACTTTTAAAACAATACTGGAAGTGTACATAATAACAAGTATAAAGTTAATATTTGATTAGAACCAACTATTCACTCGCAGTGGGAGTTTGTTATAAACTAACCAAATGATTTGGAATTGAGTTCATTTCACAAATATGTGTGTTCCTGTTCCTGGCCTGGCACTGTCACAGGCCCTGGGGATGTAGTAGCTGGTTTTCCTACTCACAGAGCCCGTGGTCTTATTTGAGAAACAGGATGAAGATTTAGCTCACTATTTAGCAACAAGATGACTTCAGTAGGATGGTGGAATTGAAAGCCAAACTGGCAAGTTGAAGAAAGAGTAGGAAGTAAGAAAGTAAAAATAATAAATGAAAACAATTATTTCAGGAAGTCTCGCTCTGTCGTCAGGCTGGAGTGCAGTAGCGCGATCCTGGCTCACTGCAACTTCCGTTTTCCAGTTTCAAGCAATTCTCCTGCCTCAGCCTCCCAAGTAGTTGGGACTACAGGCATGCACTACCACGCCCAGCTAATTTTTTGTATTTTTATTAGAGATGGGGTTTCACCATGTTGGCCAGGATGGTCTCGATCTCTTGACCTCGTGATCCGCCCGCCTCTGCTTCCCAAAGTGCTGGGATTACCGGCGTGAGCCACCTGGCCTGGCCTGATTTTTTTTTCTTTACCCCAATGGCAAATGGCAAAAGTGCTTCATTTAGGGAAATGTTGAGGTCCAGGAGAGTTGAGGGAAGAATGGAAATGAGGCAGGAAGACATAGACATAGTCAGAGTAAGGGCTTACTGGAGAGTTAGGAGACAGTTGCCTAGGAGGATGGGGTGGTACTGTGAAAAATGTTTGGGGAATGTCTGCGTGTGAGTGGCTTAGGTGGTTTGCAGATGAAGTCACTATACTTGAGTTGAATAAATGATCAGGCCAGGATGTTGGATGTCTTGTTCATATGAACACTTTTTTTTTTTTTTTTAGACGGAGTTTCACTCATGTTACCCAGGCTGGAGTGCAATGGTGTGATCTCCGCTCACCGCAACCTCCGCCTCCTGGGTTCAGGCAATTCTCCTGCCTCAACCTCCTGAGTAGCTGGGATTACAGGCACGCACCACCATGCCCAGCTAATGTTTTGTATTTTCAGTAGAGACGGGGTTTCACCATGTTGACCAGGATGGTCTCGATCTCTTGACCTCGTGATCCACCCGCCTCGGCCTCCCAAAGTGCTGGGATTACAGGCTTGAGCCACCGCGCCCGGCCCATATGAACACTTTCTAAGGTGGTGACTATACTTAGGAGAAAGAGGTCTGAGCCACTTACCAAAGTTCTGTCTGAAATTGGAAGGTGGGAGTGGTCAGGAGATTGGTAGAGCACTGATGAAGGAGACATAAAGAGTGTCTAAATGTATGCGGTGAGCCTCAGATGACTGGGAGCTTTTCGAGGAGTGTAGAAAGGCGGTGGGAAGCTTTGGGAACGTAAGGAAATAAGAGCCTCACCTATTAATCATCTTAGATGTGATGAAGTGTGAGTATGAGAATTCATAGCATCTACCTGGGAGCAGGTTTCAGAGGGGAATGCATGGATGGAGAGATTTAGGGAGGAGACTTCAGAGAATGAGAAGCCACTATTGGAGGGTAGATGCCAAAGAGGATGGAAGGAGCGACATTGGAAACAGTGATAATTGCCTCTGTAACCAGTTTATTTGGTGCAGCCTCAGTCTTATCCCGTAACTGTCCCCATGAACTGGTTTTTTGTCCTTGATTCAAAGAGCCATTGTTTCTACCTCCTGATGTGCATCCTCCTTCCTATCAGGCTCCCTGTAGTCTTATTCCCCCTATAGCAGCCAGTGGTCATTTTCATATGTAAGTCAATTTAATGGCTTCCATTGTCCTTTGGGTAAAGTACAAACTACATAACAGGTGAGGGGATTGACATTCTTAAGATTGGCATAGGTGTAATAGAGATGATTCCTAATATTATTGACATCCTTAGCAAAACAACCCATTGTACTTCTTCTGTTTTCAGGTGGTGTCATTTGTGAAGAAGAATGTTCTAGTGACTGGGGGATTTTTCGGAGGCTTTCTGCTTGGCATGGCATCCTAAAGAAGATGACCTCATTTTCATTGTTCCTGGTTTTTTCTAGCCAGCAGCCTCTACACTCCATCATAGGACATCAAGTCCCTCCTCTTCTCCCGTGCCTTCCTCCCTGCTGTGGCAAATCCGGGTGGCTTCTATAAGAATCTGTTGGTGCAAGTTACTGTGACACCATGAGCTTGATGGTGGCAGAAGAGACAGTAGTCCTTAGTTCTCCTCCTAGTACACCCCCTACTTGGTCAGTCTGTAGGTCAGCAAGAAGACTCCTTTACCCCCATGCAAGACATTTAAACCAGAACACATTGCAAGCTGGCTCACCATGGAAGATGACTGGATCCTGAAAGGTTGTCCCAAACTGTTGATTTGGAAAAGAAATAAGCACATAGATAACCTTATTGTGTGCTGCATGGAAAGGAACTGAATACATTTGCCTTTAAGCATGAAAGATTTTGGTATCTTGGTGTCTACTTTCTTTTTTAGTTGGTTTTATGTTACAGAAAGAGCTATTTAAATGTGTTATAATTATGCAACAAATTGGCAGCATAAGTACTATAATTGAAAAATCTGATATTGTCCAGGAATTTTTACCATCATACAGGATAATGTATCTCATGGCTGTTTCCAAAGGGTTTATTTATTGTAAAACAAGTGATTTAGGTAGGAAAGAGAAGAAGATCTTGGATTTTTATTTCATAGAAAAGATTTTAAGCTTTGAAATGTGAATGAAATATTCTTATCAAAACATTAGGGGTGGCCATAACTCCTCTATGCCACTTCTTTTTTTTTTTTTTTTTTTTTTTTTTTTTTAATGCAGTTACTATGAAATAAATTTAAACCAGAGTTTTGAAGAAGTAGCTTTCCAGGGATTCAGAATTAAGAAAAATAGTGATAGGGCATGTGAAATATTTCCATCAAGCGTAGTCTACTGTCTCGTGATGACCAAACACCTATAATTAGTCTTTAAAAGCACACAGAATCTTAGCACATTTTGCTGTAGTGGCATGTTACCATGTCTGCAGTCCCAACTAGAATATCAATCAGCTTTCAGAGGCAAGACTTCTGTCTTCACCATTATACTCACGGGGCCTAGCACTTAATAGGTGCTGAGTATTTGTTGCAAATATGAATAATGACTTTATAGAAAGAAAACTCACTATTAAAGGTTAGTTTTACTCAGAATTAATTAATCTTGGAGATGATCTCTTGTGAAATATGAGTGTGTTTCTAAGGCCATACATTGAAAATGTTTGCATTTAACCTATCTTGAGAATGACGTATTGAATTTGAAAATTGAAATTATCAATGGATGTGTAGAATGTTACAGAAATCACCTATTTGCATTTTTCTCCTTACATTTGCTTGCAATATGTATGAATCATCTCGAAACCATAATGATATGAGTCTCTTTGCTGCATATTTTTCTAAAAGAACTTTATTTTTACTTTTTATTATGGATGCTTTCAGGCATATATAAAAGTAGAGAATACAGTACAATAATGCCCCATGTATCTACCAGTCACCTACAACAATCATCACATTATAGCTATGCTGGTTTTTACCAGTTATTGTGAAACACATACCAAAATGTCATTTTATCATATTTCAGTATGTATCTCTAAAAGGTAAGAATTATTTCTAAAAATCATTAATATAGCACATCATCATATCAAACATTAACAGTAATTACATAATATTCAATATCTGATCAGTATTCAAAATTTCATTGTCTCAAGTGTTTTACATTTAGTTTCTTTGAATCAAAATTCATGCAAGGTTCCCATTGTATGTGTATGATTAGGATAAGTCTCTTAACCTTATAGATCATCCTCTAATTTTTTTTTGCCATCTATCTATCTATCTATCTATCTGTCTGTCTGTCTGTCTGTCTGTCTGTCTGTCTGTCTGTCTGAGTCATCTGTTTCCTGGTTTTCCAAATTCTGCTTCTCCTGACATTTGGGAATCTCTGAGTTATGCCATATATGGTGATCATGGCTGCAGCCACTTTACCTGTGTGACTTACCCACAGCAATGGGATGGTAACAGCAAAAGCTAACCAAAGTGCTCTGTGCCCCTTTGGGTTGCATGTGGGGAGACTGGCCACCCAATGCCTCTCCAGTGGGGTAGGGGTTGTCTTTTGGTGCATCTCTTTTTCCTGTGATTATTGGTGAGGACAGTAAAAATTAGCAGGTGGTTCTAAACTACGTTGAGTTTCAGGTGGTGAGTTGGAGTTAAGGTTTACCCCAAAAGAACAGCTGCTGTTCCTCCATGCAAAACCGTGATGATTCCAGGACCAGGCAACTCCACCTTTCAATGCACTATTTTCATTTGACTGGAGAGGCCTGCTTAGCTAGGCACGTATTTTCTCCAGTAGCAAAGTTCAATAACGTTCTGAACTTCCTATTTAGTGGTGGTGGGGTGGAAGTTTTTCCTTGGGAAGAGTGTTGTCACTGTGTATGATCCAGAGAAACTTTACTTGGAATGTGTTCGGGTTTCGTCGCCCCTGGTGGCGGCACCATGGTAACACCGCACTAAAGGATTCCAAGTTGTCAACCAATAGGATGCCATCTACGTAGTGAAAGCCCCCCTTCCTGTACCCTGCAGCGTGGTGGACAGCGTCCCGCCCCAGGGACCCTTTCTGTCCCCTTCCTCGCTACTATGGGTCCGCCCTGCATCCTCACCACTTTGACCCACTTTTTGGCCCAGCGTCTCTCCCGCAATGGGACCTGGTGGGATGGGGACTTAGAGCATGGTACAGGAGAGGTAGAACGTTTGAGTCTCTTCCCAAAGTTCTCCCCAGAGTCGGACAGCAGAGACTGATCCAGGGGCACTTTCTGGTGGCTGCCTGCTGGGGCTCAGCAGATGGAGTCCAATGTTTGAGTCTCCCTCAAGGATGTGTATCCTCATTGCTGACACAGGAGCTGGGTCGGGGGAGGGATGTGGTGTTGGGGACCCTTGCCTGAGCAGCCCATTGTCATGAGTGTTGTCATTATGATAATATGTTAACATCACTCTCCTCCGAAATGGCTGCTTGTTTGCTGTAATCTCCCGCCACTCAGCCTCCAGACATTCATTAACAGGACAGTGGAGGTCTTGACTCCCGCACCACTGGGGTGACAGTCCTTGCTACTGGATCTGGGCAGTTACTGTCTCATGGATGCTGGCAGAAGATGATTCAAGTTGGAGGACCAGATTCTACAAGGAATGAACTCTTAGATAATTCTAGCCGACATGCTCTTGGGGTGGGTGCTTCTGGTTTTGGAAAGCAGTTACTGTGTAGTTAACTATTCTAAGAATAGTCTCTCCGTCATCCTTTTGTTTGATATTTGTCAGAAACATGGGCATAACTAATGGCTGGGCTCTAATTTGGAAACTCTACTTTTGTACAGTTTGGGAAAATGCAAAATAAATCTCTGCGTGAAAAAATGGTATACGGATGGATTTGAAATTTCTGAGTATCATCAATATTTAATGATGATCTCAATTTCTTCTCAGAGGGAAGCTCACAGCCAGTTTTGGACCCTGTAGGAAAATTTGACTGCTGCCCTGTGGTCCCTCCACCAAATTATCAGCTTCATTTCTGTCATGAAATCCAGTATGATTTCTGGGAAATCAGGCCCAGAACTAAAATACACTTTCTGCCCGACTCTAAGACATCACACTAACATTTAAGTAATTGGACAGAAAACCTAGTTTAGCTCTGAGCCTGATTTTTCCAGAAGTCATACGGTGTGGCTTATATTTCTGATGTTTGCCTTCTTTTTAAGGGATCATTAATCTTAATACATTTTTTAAAGAAAACAGTGTTTCACTTTTTCACATTTTTTTCTTTTTGAGACGGAGTCTTGCTCTGTTGCCAGGCTGGAGTGCAGTGGCGCAGTCTCAGCTCACTGCAACGTCCATCTCCTGGGTTCAAGCGATTCTTCCGCCCGAGTAGCCGGGACCACAGGCGCGTGCCACCACGCCCAGCTAATTTTTGTATTTTTAGTAGGGACAGGGTTTCACCATGGCCAGGATTGTCTCGATCTCTTGACCTCATGATCCGCCCGCCTCAGCCTCCCAAAGTGCTAGGATTACAGGTGTGAGCCACCACGCCCGGCCTCACTTTTTCACATTTTTATAAAGCTTTAAAGTCAGCTTATTGACTTGTCAAAACTTTTAAAATTTTAAATGGTAAGAAATGACAGGATTATGGAGAGCAGTGGTTTTCATCCTTGCTTGCACTTGGGGATCACCTGTGAAATTTAAAAAACTACTAGTGCCTGACTCTCATCCTAGAAATTCTGATTTCACTGGTCTGGGGTGGTGTTAAGGCATCCTGAGGTTTTAAAGTGTCTTAAGATTTTTCTAATGAGCAGCTGAGACTGAGAACCACTGAAGTACAGAGTTGGAAGTTGGTGTTGAAAAAATTAAGAGTTCTGCTGTTAACTCCTTAACAGGGCTTTAAAGCCTTTTAAATTAAGTGCCATACAACTTCAGATGCCTTCTGGATACTGAACACAAGTGTGATATTGTTCATTAAATGTTTTAGTAATCGTGTGGAGTGAATGCAAGGAAAGTAGTTTCTCTGGGCATTTGAAAACTTGAAAATATATCCTAGAAATATTGTTTCTCAGACTTAGTTGCATAAAAAGGATTATTATGTTTTAATATAAGTAACTTTTTTTGGCTTTAAATGGGCATTATGGGAAACTCAGCATGAACCTTCTTTCATCCTTTTGTTGCCATTAAATTGCAGTAAGTTTATTTAAACTTCAGGGTGCTTTCTGAGCCCTTATTAGCATGAGAAATTTTGTTCCCACATTTTGAAAGTACCTTGACAGACACACAGGTTGGCTGAACTGACAGGTCGCCCTATGAGAGTCGTGGGCTGGTATCATTCCCATCCTCATATAACTGTTTGGCCTTCACATGTTGGTAAGTATTATGGGGTTGCAATGTTTATTGTTCTCAAAAATTAATATCATGTTTCCTTCTTTATTATTTGCATTGTGGCAAAGTGGAAGAGCAAGGGCTTTTGTTGTCAGTGGATGCTAAAACACTGGGTGAAAAGTTGTGGGGTAACGTGATATTCATACAGTGACAAGATACTACCCCACAAATAACCATTACAAAGGGAAAACCACCTTTCTAGCTAAAAGGTCAGTCACTAACCAAGTGACTAAACTTAGCATCACTAATAGCCAGATTAAAGGGTTTTTTTTTTCCAAAATGGGAGATCATAGTTCTCACCTTCTTAGAGTTCTTTCCTTAAGACTGAGATTCAGTGTTAATCTCAGTCCCTAACAATAAGAAGCACTCTGTAAATGTTAAGCCTTCTATGATGGCTATTTTTATATATGTCATAATAATAGCTAAGAAGAATAAGCGTTAAATCAATGTCTTCCAATAGATTTGTTGACTTAAACTGAGACAGAATCGTTTAAAGGAAGGAACTGATATGAACCTTTCAAAACTGAAAGTACTATACTGATACAGTTTGGACTATGTCCCCACCAAATCTCATGGTGAACTGTATTCTCTAATGGAGGTGGAGCCTGGTGGGAGGTGTTTGGATCACTGGGGTGGGTTTCTCATGAATGGTTTAGCACCATCCCCTCTTGGTACTTTACTCATGATACAGAGTTCTCATGAGATCTGGTCATTTAAAAGTATGTGGTACTTCACCCACCACTCTTTCTTGCTCCTGCTTTGGACATGTGGAGTGTTCACTCCCCTTGTGCCTTCTGCCATAACTGAGTTTGTTGAGGCCTCCCTAGAAGCCCATCAGATGCAGTGCCATGCTTCCTGTACAGCCCATGGAACTGTGAGCCAACTAAACCTCTTTTCTTTATAAATTACCCGGTCTCAGGTATTTCTTTATAGCAATGCAACAATGGACTAATACATATGCTTTAGCAAAAAAACATTTAAAAGAGTCTGAAATTGGAGTAGTTAGCTCAGTAAACATAACTTAACAATAAAACATAGAAAACAATCTATTTGATCATGTAGTGATTCCTAATGTAAATCCCAGTAGGACTGTCAACTGATAATTTTAAATGTAATTTAGATTTGTAGATGATGTAACATTAAAAATGTAAAATGTTTTATTATTTTATCATTGACACAAGACTCCATTTAAATGATTTCATGGGGATTTAGCACTGTTACTCTGGTTTGTTGACCAAATGTCTCTAAGGCAGCATTTCTCTAAGTGTCTCTGGAGAGCATTCACAGAGAGATGCTGTCTGCAAAACAGGTTTTCTTAGGCTTTTTGAAAGCTCTCAAGTCTAGCAGGAAATTAACCTGTTTACTTGTACGCAACCTAGCATTCCCCAATCTTACCTGAGCACAGAAGCCCTTTTTTTTCCTTCCTGTTACAGCAATTCCTAGAAACACTCTGGGGAATGCTGCTTTAAGGAAAACAGTTGGTCTCAAATAATCATGGCATTTCAATATCAGGGACCTAGCAGAAACTGTTCCTGCTTTTAGTCATCATTTTTTTAGAGGAGGGGCTCTGGTGGTTCAAGCATCCATTTGATGGATGGACTGGCTGGGCCTCTTTGAGGAAAGCATTTGAGCCATTTGAGGAAAGCAAATGGCCTGTTGCATGCTGCCTCCTCCTACTACATAAAGTGACTGACAACTGTCAACAGGCTTCATTCAGCAGCTTTGTATTAATGTTGTCTGGATCCTCTGTAACAGGTTTTATTATTATCAGGATATAAAGAATAGATAAACCAACTAAGAGTTTGAATTATCTTGTTGCCTACCTGACTTCCGATGAAAATTTTTTCTTCAGTTCCTTGATGATACATTAAGAATCATTAAACATTACAAGAATCATTTCTATGCGTTTCCTACCACTAAGTGAATGAATATTAAGCACTTCTGGTTAGTCACTCCAGTGGGGATGCAAAAACAGAAAGAAATGCGCTTAATGGCATCCGGAAAGACACTTTTTGCTCTGCATTATTGGAAGCACAAAAAGTACTGAGTTCGTTTAAAGGCAACTTTGCATTAATTTAACATGTTATCTATAAAAGGTGTCAAAACTGTGATGCTGGAAGAGAGTCCTTTCACCTAACGTACCTCGTATGACTTAAGTTTGATGAATGGCACAAGTGATCTGATCTCAAAGAGAATTCATTAATACCCTATATGTAATAGTCTTAAAATACATTTAGTTCAAAACCAAAATTTTTCTCTTCAACAGGTTTATTTTAGCAGCTCAGTTTATTACATTGTACATATTTGTCTTTGAATGTGTTGTTTAAATTTCTGTCTGTTCTGCATAGATGGCATATTCATTAACTTTTATAGCTGACTTTTTCATTTGCTATTTGCTGCTACCTGGCCTGAAGAAAGACAGGAAGATTAAAAAAAAAAATCATTCAGTAGAAACATGGAGCAGCACTTCAGCAGAACTTTACTTCAATGCAGACTTCAGTGTTAGGTTTTCTTCCTCTTCTTTTTCAAATCCTGAACAGACGACAGATCTTCCCTTGGGATACTGAGCACAACACTTACGCAGTTCTTGGATGACAGCCTGACATTTTGATTCCATGTAGTTGTTGGCTGAAAAACATACAGGCAGACTCTAGTCATGATCTCATAGGTAAAGGGAAGTTTAGATCAGTGCTTCCCACTCCCTTTAACTTTCAATACCTATGGAACTGGAAGAAGGAATATACACCAAAGTCGACTAAATTCTTTCTAATTTAGAGACCTGTCAACAGGTTCATTAGGAAGAAAAGTGTGATTTCAAAGTGGTTGAAAGCTATTTTAATTTCCTTTACGGATAACAGCATACATGCACCTTTTTCTAGGATATTGGTTTTTAACATCATTATTATTACGGTCACTAATTTGATGAATTAGGAAACTGCATATATACCACACCTTATTTTGCATACAGTTTAAGCTGATTGCTGGACCTCCTCTACCAAGGCTGTGCATCAGGAATTGGGAAACTGCAGCCCATGAGGGTCAAATTCAGCCCGTTTTTACAGCTGGGAGCTAAGAATGGATTTTAGATTTTTAGAGGGTTGTAAACACACAACACATATACAATACATACAACAAAGACCTTTAGCCTCCAAAGCCTAAAATACTACTTGTTTGGCCTTCTTCATAAAACATTTGTAGACCCCTACTATACATAAACACTAAGTTAAGGAGGACCTGACCTAAAGGCTCTAGGTCACCTGATAATCTAATGAGCCTCCCAGCACTAAAATGGGATACATGGTAGTTAGCTCAGGATAGGAAGGACAATTCTGATTAGCAAGGTGGCTAACAGTCCAGATTTGGAGCTAGACCAAGGGTGGGTTTGGGGGGATGTTCTAATTCCCACCATATTTACTAGCTATGTGACCCTAGTCAAATTACATAACTTATGTGTTTGTTTTCCCATCTATGAAGTGGGGGTCATAGTAGCATCTACCTC